GGAATGTGTGGTGGACCATCGCAGAGTCGTAGAACGTAGGAACACGCAACGGCTCGGCGATGAAAAAACGCTACGAAAAAAAGGAAAGCAAGCTTGTAATCGACTTCCTGGTTGTTTAGCTATAACGTAGACGCGTCTGCTTGGCTCGGAAGTTGAGCGCTAACTGTACTAGTTGAATAATAATGTCAATTGTCTATTATGATTATTTTTTTTTATTTTTTGTATTTCAGTCTCATTCTTAGTGATATTATTAATTAATAGATTAAATAACAAGAACAATACTGTCAAAACAAAATTATACGTAACAAAAAATAAAAGTTCAAAATCTGCCAATCATTTTCCTCCTTCGGTTTGGGGTAGTTCCATCCAGAATGCCTCCAACAATGGTAAAATAGTTTTCAGTAGTTCGTTTTTCCTTTCAGCGTCGATTCCTCTAGGTTGACTCTTCCTTTTCAAGTGGTCTTCCAAATTGAAGCCATCAGCCGAAATAAGCTTTTCCTGCTTGTTTGTAAATATCTGAATATTCTATTCAGGTCACCGCCATCTACTGAGCAACTGTAGTGCAGATTCCATGAACCTTTTTTCACGACAACATGTCTAATATTGTCGATATACGGGCGAGGTTCGACCTTATTAAGCACGTATTGTGAAATGTTGAAAACACTGGGGAAAAAAATGTTCCGGCAGCATGTCGAATACCTCAACGTTTCCTTTAGCGTTTCCAACCGCGGTTTTGAAATCCGGGTAGTTGGTGGATCTCGTCGCATTGCATTTCGACGGAGCCGTGGAAGCTATTCGCGGCCATGAAAGTGTGTCCGGGTTCAAAAAATTTCAGAACCAATTCCTTTAAATGAATTTTTTTGGAATTCATCAGAATTATCAAATGAAGGAAAAGGTTCCAATTCTTATTTTGGGCGACCGCTAATACTACATGTCCAGGCATAACTGAATCTCCGTCCTCTCGATACTCTGCTCGGGTTGCTTTGGCCAACTGAAGGTGCTTTTGGTATTTTTCGCATATAGCACAAGAGCTATTCGGGGCTGAAACCTCTGCTGAATGTCTAGACGTTTTTATATGCTGCATTGCTGAAATACATGTCTCACACTCTTCATGTCCCAGTTTGACCATTGAAATATTCATCTTTTTCAGTATTCGGCAGTAAAACTGGTAGCTTACATCAGTCTCGTGTGTTTGGTTATAGTTCCGGTGCATTTTCTTGATAGATAAGTCCGACGGCAATTACAACCGATTCGGAGCGTGGGCACGCCGGTAATGCGAAATGGTCGGATTGTACTTAGCGATGTGTGCTTTGACGCTTCTACTCTTTTCAGTGCTACGCTCATATTTGCATTGTTTTAGAGCCCTTGGTCCAATTTCTTCATCATCGTCAGCATCACCTACCATCCGGTAGATAATGTTTCTGTAACATAAAGGAAATAATTTTTTTTTCCTTGATTTGTTTTCCGTCGATCTTGTTTTCCGTGCACCAATGCTATCGACGCCAGAGAGGCAGCTCCCACATCTGGGCCCTACCTATCGACCCATCAACTCATGAACCGTTCCCTTCCGAAGGAAGGCGTGATCAGAGATGTTATGCCTCAGAACATCCCGGCGTCGCCGACTGGGATTGAACCCAGGCCTGCTGGGGTGAGAAGTAATCACGCTTACCACTACACCACTGGTACCGCTTAGAAGAAATAATTAATGCATTAAGTTTAATCCTATTCCATATTATTGTCAGTAAACTCCTACCCGCCGTGTTCCCCGTATCCCAAAGTATTTAGAAAGAACTTTCTAAAAATAAGGGGTGCTTCATCACTAGCCAGCGTTCGAATATGAACATTGTACGAGTGGTACTTTCGCAAAGTGTCATCGATGAATACATTACGACTCCGCCTTTGTACGGTTGTACGCAGAACTCGTTCTCGGATGAAATGCTTCTGACCAGCAGCGTCCAAACTCCAGAAGGTTTTATTCATATCAATCCTGACATCTCTGCAGACCAAATTGCCGCACTCTTTACTGCACCCGCAATCTTCCCAAATTACGACATGAGCGGAGCGTCGTCTTTCCGCAACGTCACGCTTCCGGATTTCTTTTTTCGTGCTCTTATTCTGCCTTCCAGTTGTCTTCCTTTCATTTGAATCTGACTCGATATCAGAAGATCTGCTATCTAAATCATCTACCAGTTTTGCTGAACCATCTCCCGCTGACTCGTCACTTGGGTCGTGCTCTTGCTCCACGGACGGCAAAGTAGCGAAATACGACCGAAAACGTTGTAGTTTCTCCACATCATTACACGAAAACAATTCACCGTCTTTGGTCACCACATCAAATCCACTGCACTATTCGTCGGAACTTTCATCACTACTTCCACCGTAAATCTGGATTAGATTCAAAGCGGACGTCATGATTTCGTAAAAAGGAACGGTAAAACCGAGCGGTCCTTGACAAATTTAGTTTTGTTTTGATTCAAGCTGGTAGTATTTGACAGATGCCTACCATGGAGCGTTGAAACAGAGTGGGACTGGAATGCGATTATTTTTGTGAATGACGGGCAAAATAACCGCATATCAGTCCCAGCGCGGTTTTCTTCGAATAACACTTTTGCTTTTTTAATTTATTGATGCAATAGAAATAAAGACATAATAATGCACGTAAATGAACAAAAGATTTTATTTATATCATGCGACACATATATGTACGTTAAAACATATGATTCCAACTTAACTTGCTGTTTTCTCGGTTTGCTGTTTTTACATATGGGACTGATATGCGGTTACAGGCAGTATTGATACACAGTACAAAGTCGTTCGACACCCTAGATAAAGTTTGGGGTTATGACTTTTTATGACATTTAGCGACGGCCTTCGTTAAAACCTTGCATTCGTATTTGTTTGACCAGTGTGTACGAACAAAGTGGTTCCTATCGAAAAATTTCATAATGAAGACTTTGCTAGAAAAACTTTGTAAATATATACCGCGATATACGATAAAGAAGGGAACATGCTCTTCTTTTAATATATGAAAGAGAACATAATTAATTCGTTAAATATATGATAAAGAAGGGAATATTCCCTTCTTTGAAAATATAACAAAAGGAAATAATTAATTCTTTGGATAAACGATAAAGATGGGAATATTCCCTTCTTTTAATGTATGAAAGAGAACATGATTAATTCGTTAAATATATGATAAAGAAGGGAATATTCCCTTCTTTGAAAATAGATTAAAGGAAATAATTAATTCTTTGGATATACAATAAAGAAGGGAATATTCCCTTCTTTGAATATATAAAAGAGAACATCATTAATTCGTAAAATATATAATAAAGGTGGGAATATTCTGTTCTTTGAAAATTTAAGAAAGGAAAATCATTAATTCTTTGGATATACGATAAAGAATGGAATATTCCCTACTTTAAATATGTAAACCATATGATAAAGAAGGGAATATTGCCTTCTTTGAAAATATAACAAAAATAAAGAATTAATTATTTGGATATAGGTACGATAAAGAAGGGAATATTTCCTTCTTTGAATATATAGAAGAGAACATCATTAATTCGTTAAATATATGATAAAGAGTTCTTTGGATGTATGATAAAGAAGGGAATATTCCCTTCTTTGAAAATATAACAAAAGGAAATAATTAATTCTTTGGATGTACGATAAAGAAGGGAATATTCCCTTCTTTGAATATATAATTCGCTAAATATATGATAAAGGAGGGAATATTCCCTTTTTTGAAAATATAAGAAAAGGAAATAATTAATTCTTTGGATAAACGATAAAGAAGAGAATATTCCTTTCTTTGAATATATAAAAGAGAAAATAATTAATTCTTTGAATGTATGATAAAGAAGGGAATATTCCCTTCTTTTAATATATAAGGAAAATATATTATCAATAGCTTTTCGCAAGGGATTCGGGGTAATGACCATTTGGAATAATAACGAGTGGAATAATGTTATAAATTTGTAATCGGTAGTTCAACATTCCATGCACCGATTTTTTAATCCATCACGAGAAATTCTTCAACTCAAGTCGAACATTTCTTCGATAAGGTTTAACCGTTTCCGACTGGTTGAATTGGATTGCATAATAGACCCTTTGACTTATTAAATGATGAACGAAGTGCTCGAAAACTTGAAGGTTGTCAAAAAAAGGTTTGGAATTGATAAATACATAATTCCATAAAAGTAAACACAGTGTATTATCAATAGTAAAAAAAAGAAAAGTGAAAATTACTAATTTCATCATCTTTTCTGGGGAATGGTACATTCTGGGGAATGGTACATTCTGGGGAATGGTACATTCTGGGGAATGGTACATTCTGGGGAATGTTTTTTCTGGGGAATGGAATTCTGGGGAATAGTTTTCTGGGGAGATTTGCAGATTCGGAGAAATGGTACATTCGGGAAAATTTGGTTGGTTTTCGGGGAAAAGTCGTACAATCGTTCACATCAACGTTGATTCTCAGAGTGAAAACATGGATAACAATCTAAGGCCAGCTTCCTCTGTTAACTCAAAAGCGATGGAAGAATCACCGAACCTTAGGAGTGTTGTTTCGGACTCAAATTGGCTGCTGACAAACAACCAACCACGACGCTACGCTAAGGAAGGACATTCAAACTGAAGGCTATGTATAGCCCATGAAGATAAGTATCATTCCTTGGTTAATAAGCATTACTAATAAAATAACATTGATGATTAAAATATAAAATAAATACTATCTTGAGTAAAAAGGGGATGTGATAGAGTGGGTCACTCATATATACATAACTATTGATGTGAATTGCAGAGTGAGCTCAGTCTTGCTTAGTTCGGCAATGTGTCAATTTCGGAAATATTTTGAACATGAAATGTTTTCATGTTCAAAATATATTGAGGGCGGCACAAAATCAGTTGAAGCTTTTCTCTCGTTGGACGTGATTTAAACATAGAACTGTGCAGCACACAGGAAGTTGCTTACAATATCATATGGGGTTTTCACTTACCATTTCAAGATTGGTCATCGTATCTGATACTTTCTTAGATGGTGTCGTTTGTGATGCTACGCCAATAGCCAGCTTTACCTCCTCTTGGCGTTCTTTAATGTCCAATACTCGCTTAGTGAGTTCTACCTCATTGTCTTTTGTGAGAGGTTTTGCCAACAAATCACCGATACGTTTGAGCACTTTGGATGAAATTTCTTCCAAATCAATGGCTTTGAGATGAGAGAACTCATTGGTAGAAGAATCACTGTCATTCAAACTCATTTGTAGCCGTATATCATTGTTGAAACATTTGAAATTTCTAAAAAAAAAAAAACTAAATTTACATGCATGAGTGAATTTATGTACATACCTTGAGTTTTGAACTTCCTTAAATCTATCCCGCAGTCGTGCTTGAGTGTCCATTAATCGTTGGGTAAGAAGATTAGATTTGCCATGTGTTTCCAGGATCAGTGTGTCACCTTGTGAAATAAGCGTTGCTGCGTCAGGAGCAATCGTCAATTTTAGATTCTCGACCACGCTTGGTCCATCGTCGCAATTGTCAATTTTATCGCGGGTTTGTTCCAGCTTTTTTATCATGTACTTCGCAGTCTTATCGAATTCATTGACACGTTGTTCCAGAGAAGTAAGCTTTTTGTACGAATCATATCGATAATTTCCAATCGGACTGAATGGAGTTTGATCACTTGGTGATATTACCTTGATACTTTTTTCTCCCAAATTACTCGCATGAGGTGTCTCGATTCGGCTCTGTAATTGTAGTGTTTAAATGAAAAATATAAAAAAATTGTTCTTCGTATCAATGTAATGGTGTATGGTTCATTGAAAAGAACGAAGCCTTGAAGGTTGGTTGTGGTTGTGGAATTGTAATTATTTTTGTACTTGGCATCACATAATAAAATAAATTCTATGTGAATAATCATATAGATTTTCATGCGAATTAGTGGTGCACATCCGGGACGGGACTTGACAATCGAGCTTCTCACTCTTCTTAATGTTTTTGAAGAATGCCCTTCGGAAACTTGTGCGTGGTGTTTGACGGAGTTGACCAAGGATGCCAGGAATGTAAAATATTTATTCTATATTAATTTGGATTTTATGCGGAGTTCCTTCCGCAGCTTAGCAACATGTGCATCATTTTTGCTCAACACAATAAAAACAACCATAAACAAACAACAATATCCAACGCTTAAAACACGCAATGCACTCAATTTTTCAACTTTCCTTTCGCAAATATAAAAAAAATTAACAATGCCATTCACGTCAACATTGATTCCGGCATCACTGCTAGCCAGATTGATGCGATCCCTCTGTCCTTTTTATTCCACGATTGCTACTGTTAAATCGACCAATCAGAAACTGGCTCGGATTTGACAGCAAATTGGCTCGAAATCGCTACCCGATTGTCAAGTCCCGTCCCAGGTGCACATGAATGTTATGTGAAATTCACATGGATATTTCCACTGGTTATGTGATTTATTTTATGAGTGTAGTTACTAGCACAACATTAGCATAAACATAAACTTTACCAAGCCCATTTGAAACGAGATATTTTCTCTACAATTTGAGACTACAACTTTACATTTTAAAACTCGATGGTCTCTTCAATAACGAGTTATCGAGAGTTGACTGTATTGTGAGAAGAAGTGCCCAACTATAATTTTTGATTTGGGCTCAAATCGATTAACGTACCCCATTTTAGTCGAAATTCTAGTACTACACTATGGTTGTTTTTATTAGCTATGAAAGTTTGACAGATAAAATAAGGGGTTCGTGGATTTTCCTATGGTTAGAGGGGTGCATCGATTAGCTTGGGACCGAAGAGAGTACCAGAGCTGAGCCAAAAAGTTGAGCACATTTCTTCGGGACCTTCTAGTCTTAGAGTTATTTCTATGCTTGAGGGTAAAAGCATGGAAGAACGTCACCAGAAAACTGAAGAAAAAAAACTTTTCCAACCGAATTAAGACGTGCAGTTAAACTTCGATTGGAACAGCTTTTTGCAGACGTCCAAACTTTTACTAGAGGTTTTCAGCTAAAACATCAACATTATAGACGACTATTTCAACTACCGTTATACGCATGTCTCACGGTACATGAGCATTGCATAGAATATGGAACTGTTATGCGTATAACAGCGTAAACCTGAAGCGAGAAGCGCAGCGCGGAACTGGAAATGCTTATGTTGATACAAGCCATTCTTGAGAGACATTCCGAGACTCCATCTATTCCTAGGAAAAAAATGTAAAAGAATATTGTACCGTGTCACTGTCCGAGTCGGTGGCCATTTCGATGGAATATCGTGGAATGTCTTCATCTTCTGAAAATACTAGCAACTCGTCATAGTTCTCCTTATCTGAGCTATAAAAGCTGTCTCGTTCGTCGAATACCAAATCCCTGAGACCTGGATGATTTTTTGACGCCTCCTCAACATTCAGGCATATTTTATCGAAATCTCTGAGTACATCAATAGAAGACTTTTGTGGAAGTATGAGTTTTTTGCTTATTCTCAATTGCTTTGGAGATTGAGATTGTTCACCGCCTATTTGGACGGTATTTATTGGTTTACTCGATTTAGGTGTACTCGTTGTTATCCTGCTCAATGGCTTAGAAACATTCATTTGCTTTTTGTCAGGCTTCGGCGATGGGCAGCTGGTATCAGTGTCGGAAGATGCATCTATTATATGTACTGTTTCAACATATTCGGGTTCAACAAATTTACATGACTCGAGAATGTTGATCGTGTCAACTACTTGACCATGCATGGTTACATCTGAGGAAGGCATATTAATACTCCGAACGGACATTTTAGCGCTCATATTTTTCTCTTTTACTTCAACTACTGAGCACTCACTGTAGTGATGACTCACTGTCCTCGTTTCGGATTTAGCTTGCTGCAATGGTTCGGCGCTGGATATGCAAGAAAACAAAGCACTTGTTTCTACCAGCCTGAACGTGGCGGGTAAAATATCAGGCAAAATGTTTGACTGTTGTTCGAGGTTCCTAACGGATATCTCTTTCGCTTTGGATTCCTTATTAGTTGGTGATAAATTAAGCGTTTTGGCACGTCGGTGACGAACTGTATCACTGAGGACAACAAACTCTGCATGGTCTTCCTTCTCATTAGGTGTTATTTCTTTCAATGCATCCTGGAAGATCGTACATTATTCTTTGAAATACTCCGATATAAATTAGATTGGTATGACACCTTACAGGAATTTATTTACATGGTTGTGTAAAACCGATTCCAATACAGAATATAGTACACTCCCCTTTGATTACTTTCACTGTGAATACTGAAGAATGTTGGCGTCTTAGTGGAAAAACTGAATAACTCGAGTCGAGTATTAGTACAATACACTGAAGAAGTCTGCACATTGTAGACGAAATACGCGTATCTGTCAAGGATAAGCAAATAAGGTAGTGCAATTAAATGGAAATTACTAATCCTCTCTCTCTCTAATTATTAAAGTTACAATTATTAACGATTGAACGCTTTCGGAGTGTGATTCACAAACACCGCCCGAAATAATGTGATTCAAATATCTGCTATTGAAAGTACATTTACTATACGTTATGGAAAACAATTTTAACATTACTAAGGAAAAGTTGATTTCATTTCCATCGCAAAACAGGTTTACCCATATGGCTGAAACCTGATTGAAGGCTTAACCGTTGAAGAAAGCGGTCCTAAAGCGATTTATTTATACGCCTAAAAACAAGTGAATCTTCTAAAAGCTTTATACAAAAAGAGAGAATATCGCAGATTACAGAATGGATTTCTAAAACAAGGCCATTAAAAAACATATATGTTGTCACTAACTACAGGGACACCTCGACATTACAGACATTAGACAGCAGACATTAGCAAATTAGAGGCATACGAATAAATCATTGTGCAGCTAAAGGAGAAGTTCAATTCCCCTAGAGCTGACAGAAAAGATCATCAGTATTGCCAAAGTCTTGGTCCGTGAATAAAGTTGTAGCAGAATTCAACGCACCAACGTACATGGTGAGGCAGGTGAAGAGCCTTGTTAATGAGCAGGGTATTCTAAGCACACCCAACAAAAGAAGTGGGCATGGGATCAACGATGATATAAAAAACTAGTTAGGGAATTTTTAGATGACAATGATTTTAGAAGACCTATGCCCGGAACAAATGATTTTGTTTCCGAGTTTAGAAATGGACGAAAAGAACACGTTCAAAAACGCCTGTTAATGATGTCCCTCAAAGAAGCGTACATGATTTTTGTTGATAAATATAAAGATATTAATATTGGTTTCACTGTATTCACACAATTGCGACCAAAACATTGCATTTTGCTTGATTCTACTGGTATACATAATGTATGTATTTGTACAATTCATGAAAATGTAAAATTAATGATCAACAGTTTAAGAATTATGTCACAAGATGCAATAATAGAAAAAATGCTTTGTAATATTTCTACTAGAACAACTGATTGCTTTTTCCGTGCTTGCGAAAAGTGTGCTTCCAAAGAACATATTGAAGAGGAACTTACTTTTTCATTGGAATCAAATGACAAACAAGATGTTGTGTTTCAACAGTGGCTGAATACTGATCGTTGTAATTTGGAAACGATTATCAAGCCTGTTGATGAATTTGTTCCGTATTTCATTGATAAAATTAACAAACATATAACTCATGACTTTATTTACAAACAACAGTCATCTTTTCTAAGAAATAAAAAAGAATCATTAAAAGAAGGCAAAATTCTAGCAATTTGTGATTTTTCTGAAAATTTCATTCATTATCCAAAAAGCTGCTCAAGGATATCACTGGAATAATTATCAAGCAACAATACATCCATTTTATTAAACAATCGATAGATTTTTCTAAAATTACTATGTAATATGTCAGATGGGGCAGCATCACAAAACAAAAATCAAAAAAAACTTTGCTAGTCTGTGTAGATTTCAGTCAAAGCATGGATTAGAAGCAGAATGGCATTTTTTTGCAACGTCTCATGGAAAAGGTCCCTGTGATGCCATTGGTGGCACTCTCAAGCGAATGGCAAAGAGAGTTGGTCTTGCTCGAGATTATGGAAACACCATAACAACTCCACGAGAATTATATAACTGGGCAGTTGAACAAACAGATAAAAATATCACAAAACTACGTTTCGAGTACACATCCACTGAACAGTACATCGAAATGTCAGAAGAACTCGAAGAACTATATAACAGCACAAAGACAATATCTTGAGCTTGAGCTTGATTGACCGCCCACGGTTGCTACTCTGTTATTGTCAGATCAGCTGTAATTACACAGAGAACCAATAGACGATGCTTGGGACTAGCAATCATCTTCAATGTGTAAAAACTGGTGATCTTAAATTAGGCAATACCAGCGCCGGCCGCGCCCGAACACAGGTCACGAAAGGAATGGGAAGGATTGTGTTGACATGAAACTCGCTTTGATGGAAGCCGAGAACACCTCTGCACTTCCACGAGGAATCACTGGGATGTTGGATAAGAGGGTTGGGTTTGCAGCAGGGTTCGTTTTGGTAAACGATAAGCTGAATTGATGTCCTAACGATCATATAACGCGAAGGAGCTTGGGACTAAACCCACGGTCTTCTGCTCAGTAAGCAAAAACGTTTGCCACTAGGCAGACGAGCACCTTTTTAATCACCGAGTTACTGTTATTACCATGTAGTCATATTAACAAATAAAACGATTGACGAATCTTGAATGTGGATGGGCCTGAGATTAGACTCATGATGTTCTGCTCAGTAAGCAAAAACGGTTGCTCTAAGGCCACCGAGCCCCTCATATCACATAATACCGTTGCTCAAATTTTTGTATCCATTCAAACCCGGAACCAACGACAACAACGAGTTTCGCAAAATACACGATACACAAGCGATTTTACCATAAATCTCTTTGATATGTAAGGACCTGGGACCGCGTTTTTCTGCTCAGTAAGCAGGCCACTGTAACCGACGATCTTTCAAATCCGAAAACTAAAAACTACGAAACAGTACTTAGGCCTTCATTAAGTTCCACTTTCACGCGACGTTCAATGTTTCAATTTGCTCTTTACGTATTGTTCAGGCTATAAATAGGCTCTTTTCAAAAGTTACGCGAGAAATACGCACAATCGTCGCCTACCTCGCAAAACTGGTTCCAAACGACAACAAAGGCATAAGCAACGATGGATTGTTGAACTTTGCTGGCTGGTGTAGTGCTGCTGAAAAAAGATAAGTCTATTATTTTGGTTAGTGATCGTTTGGATTTGGGTCACCCCACGTTGTGTTTAGGTTAGTATAAATAAATAATACTATTTAGTCATATAAATCACTACAGCTCATTATCTTCAGCGTTATCGGTTTTCGTTTCTGGATCTTTAGTTGCCTCTGTGATATACTTACTTGCGGCATACTATTTTGGGAGTGTATATGAGCGTGTACCATGTACGGTAGCTCATCTCTCATCGTGATGGTGGGACATAGTAGACAAATTAGAGAGAAAACAATGAGGTATTAGTATTAGTTATATGTAAACAAACAAAACAAAAGAAGAGAAGAGGAAAGAAGAGCAGACAAATAAAAAAGGGATGAAGTAGATAACAAATAAAAGGAACGTAGGCAGATTATTAGAAAAGGCATTATCCGAGACTCGGCAATCAAATGTCACTCCCGCCGAGATCTCAGCGAAACCCCCTCCCCGCCGAGACCCACACAGCCGAGCTCGGTAGAAAAAACAAAGTGTGTAGATAGATTAGTAGGAAAATAAATAAAACTACTTTATGACTCAAAGTGCAATGAATGATCGTTAGTTTCGGGATCATTTCAGTGTTAGAGTTATGTTAGTTTTTATCCGTAATCAGCCCTGCTGACCCCTCCAACATTAGTTGCAGGCAGTGGTTGTTAGATAATGCGGCACTGTAACTACTTCTATTTTAGAGGTATGATTCGTCAAGTTTATACAACTCAATGTTTCAATTGAGCCAAACTATCTGTCTTACAATTACAAAAGCAAACCGAAACTTACAATTATATGCAAATGCAAAATGAAACTTGACAAATCATCGTCAATTCCTGACGATTTGAATCTAATTTTGATCAGTGAACGGGCACCATATGGTACATTTTCTCACCATGAACCTATCATTTCCAGCCTATCTGAACTATTTAATAAATGGAAGCCATAACATGGGTTACGCTCCCCCTAAGCGGGCCTTCCGCATCCTGTCTCTGTCTTAACTCAAATACAAAATGCCAATGGTATGAATGTATCTATATAGGGTAAATGTTGGCTTCGGCACCCATTGACTGTTTTCGGCAACCAAAATTTAAACGTTAATTTCACTATGTTTTCCCATCAACGCACTTCCCTGAATGTGTCCAAACGATTGTTTAGCCTTTCAGCTTTAATCTGATTATATTTGAACGATCGAGCAATCCAGTAATGCTACATTTTTTTTCAAATAAAGCATACGCACTACAAAATGAGGTTGATTTCGAGTTGCCGATAATAGAACAGCTGGTTAACACGCAGTTCTAATGGGAAGGTTGCCGAAGAAAAAGAGACTGCCGCAATAGTCACACTCACCTGAGAAGTTTGGAGCGTTGTAAAAACGCTTTCAAAACGTTTTGAAAAATTCTGTCGATTGGAATGGATAGAGAAGCAAGCAGCAGACACATCAGACACATCATATATGTGCGTGACGCTGAGAAAATGCTAGTAGAAGTGCAGACGCTGCTTAGATTGACGAGAATACGTAAATTCCCCTATATTGGTCAGGCTTCAGAATCGTCCAGTGGGCAGTGCGCTCTACACTCCAAGTTACCTTTTTTTCAAATTTACCGCAAATTTGATATTTTACCCATTGAGTGTTGATTAGTCACAATGAAACATTGTGACAGAAGTTGAGGTTACTAGTGTATTAAATAATCTAGGTCCTATTTAGGATTATATCTGAAAAATCCAAATCTGGCCAACGCCCACCCTAAACCTAAACCTGTTCTAATCCACCTGAAATGACTAACGTATGGAAGACTTTGACTACCCAGCCATGCAATAGTCTCATTCCGTGCCTTATGGCAACTTGATGATTCTATTGCGCTCATCTTCTTGCACCACCCAGGGGAGACTTGGTCCTGTACCCAATGCTTAACTTATCTCCTTTCCACTCAGCTACTCGCAATTTCTTGTGATATAGTGGGCGGAATATTATTATATGAGACAATTCAATGCAGACGTCTTTCCAAATTTGGCAGATCGACAGGTAATCGGTGAGTTACCACGATAGTTGCTATTCAACAACTCGACAACGTCCCATCGTCAACGCCTGCTATGAGAATTTCCCATTGCAGACGCCAACGAAATGACGTCATCGAGCTATCGATCAACTACCCTGGTTATCGCCTGGTACCTTATAGCACGATGCTAGGAGGCGAACCGGAAGAATCGATGAGCTACCTCCCCCAACAGCACAAAGACAATATCTGGCACACAGAAATTCCACAGTTTTGTGACTATAACTGGTGACAAAGTAGCGGCAAAAAGGTATTCTAATTCAGAAGATGAACCAAACATAGGGTAAATGTTGGCTTCGGCACCCATTGACTGTTTTCGGCAACCAAAATTTAAACGATAATTTCACTATGTTTTCCCATCAACACACTTCCCTGAATGTATTCAAACGATTCTTTAGTCTTTCAGCTTCAATCTGATTATTTTGCTACGACCGAGCAATCCTATTATGCCAGATTTTTCTTCAAATGAAGTATACGCACTACAAAATGGGGCTGATTTCGAGTTGCCGATAATAGAACAGCTGGTTAACACGCAGTTCTAATGGGAAGGTTGCCGAAGAAAAAGAGGCTGCCGACAATAGTCACACTCACCTGAGAAGTTTGGAGCGTTGTAAAAACGCTTTCAAACCGGTTTGAAAAATTCTGTCGATTGGAATGGATAGAGAAGCAAGCAGCAGATGAATGTTAACAAACAGACACGTGATATATGTGCGTAACGCGGACAAAATGCTAATAGAAGTGCGGACGCTGCTTAGATTGACGAGAATACGTAAATTCCTCTATTTAACTTGATTGGAAAAAGGAAAAAAATAGCATGTATGAAAATAGGTTTAAAACATTGAAAATATATAAATAAATGATATATGAAATATCTTGTCTTTTTCTCTCACATATTATCAAATTTTGCATCAGTAGGGGAAACGCTCCTATAGTTGCGGTACGTTAGAAGCGTTAAGTTCCTTTAGTTGTGTATTTAGTCTCCATACACAACTATAGGAACCTAATGCATCTAACGTACCGCAACTATAGGAGCGTTTCCCCTAGTAGACAACAGAATAAGGGAATGATATTTTTTTTTACAAGGTCGACATGTCCAAATAGTTTTATTGAACTCTGAGAGGGTGCTGCCAATTCCAAATACGATTTGGCGAGAAATGCATCATGAGCCCTTTTCATACGAAATTCTCGATAAATCAAAGTGGACTTAAGTGCTGATTAGACAAAATTGAATCGCAAATTGAGCTTCATTGGATTCTGAGATGATTTTGAGTTTCACTGGTTTAATTTTGTGTGAAAATGGCAAATAAAAAAAAAAAAAAAAAATCAGTTCAGACATGAAAAAGTTTTTGTAAGAAAAACTTTTTTTTCCTTAAAAGTGCCCATCTCGCGATGTATGGACGGATGGTAGTTCAGACATGAAAAAGTTTTTGTAAGAAAAACTTTTTTTCCTTAAGTGCCCATCTCGCGATGTATGGACGGATGGTAGTAAACATAATTACATATCTTGAGGCAAAGTTTCATCCAAATCAAACATGGCCATTTTTTTAAATCGACTTTAAATTTTAAAAATCGATTTTTTTCAGTGTAGGTCTCAAATGAAATTTTTTCTAGTATTTTTTTTCGATAACTTGGACACATTTTTGTAGGAGTTGTCATTTTTCCATAATATTTTGAAAAAATCGGCAGTAAAAGTTTGGCCCTTCTAAAATGTTAATCTAGATAAATTTTGGAAAAACTAAGTATGCAGAGTGGCATATTAAGTCACCACACATCCAGAAAGTTTCATTGAAATCTGAGAGGGTGCTGAAAGCTCCGAATACGATTTGGCGCGAAATGCGTCTTGGGAAACCATTAATGGACAGCTATTTACACACACCATCAAACACTGGTTCCACTATTGCTCAGAAGAGGCGTTGCCGTTACTGTCTCCTGAATTTTGGCAGAGTTGCCAGTCTTCTTGATTTGTAGTCTTCGCTTGATTGCAATCCGTCATTGTCACTCTCTCGCTCTCTCGTCATCGATCTCACTAGTGGCGCCATCTGTTTGTCAGTACATGTACTACAATTAGAGCAACTCCATCGTTCGTTGCTAACCGCATGAGAAGCAAAGTTCCTCATGGCCATAACGGAAGTTTGTCATAGCTGCGCGCGCAGCATTACCACTGGGAAAGTGGTTTGCGGTGGTTTTTGTTAAGCTGCTTTCCACTACAGTTGTGCACAAATAACGGATGAACTGTACAAATAAATAAGCGGTAAGTCTGCTATTTTTTGGATGTGTAAAGGATGCCGCGACATCATGGGTAACGCTCGCTTTAAAAACGCTATGACATCAACGAACGCGGCTGCGATCGAACTCAACGACAGGTACCAAAAAATAATTGAAGAGATCAAGAGTGAGATAAAAGATAGCCTACCGAAATTAGGCAGGAGATCCAGGGTGGATTCAACAAGCTCTCTCCAGCAGTGCTATCTCCTCTTCCTCCTCAAATGTTCACGTTTGGTAATCCAAAAACGCCGTGACGACGAATCATCGGCATCCGATCAGCCAAACAAAGTTTTACGTGGCACAGGCCAATCAACTCTCAACGTGACATCAGCCGCAATGAGTAGATCCGACGACAAGTTCTGGCTGTATCTAACAAAAATATCACCAGATGTATCGAAGGCAGACATCGAGAAACTTGCCAAAGATTGTTTGAATACGGATGAAGTTGTTGCCAAATCCCTGAAACCCAGAGGACGGCCTTTGTCAGCTCTGTCCTTCTTTTCATTCAAGGTTGGAGTCAATCTCGAAATGAAGACAAAAGCGATGGATCCTTCGTCTTGGCCACAAGGTATCGAATTTCGGGAGTTCGCTGATGTTGAAAGGAGAACGCATAATTTTTGGAAACCGGTACTGCACATAGA